CTGTAATCCCTGCTGGACGCTGAGCTTCTTGAGGCTAGAACCCTTTGTTGAGTGCACAGTGCCTGCCACGAAGGTAACAGACAGACACTCCAGTGTTAATTGATGGATGAATGAATGGAATACTTGTTAAGGGTCAGAGAGTACTTAACCAAAGTATGATGTAAAAAATACAGTGATAAAATACTTGGGAGGGCCGAATAGGATGAGACGAATTTAACTGGGCATAGCAGGAAGCGATGTGCCCTTCCTCTCCAAAGTGAGAGGGTGCTTGTGCCTGCAGAGGCGTGGAGAGGAGAACGTGTAGGGCAGATGGTTTGGAGCTTGGGTCCCAGAGGGGAGAGAGAACTATGTTCCACAGGTAGATGCGGTTGGGGTTAAATGCCATGGCTGATTCTGTGGAGGGCTGTAGAAGGTTTTTGAGCAGAGTAGTGATCACCTCTAAGGCTGAGTAAGATGCAGTGAGGGGAGGCAGTTAGGAGGCTCTTGCAGTAGTTCAGGTGAGAGACCCTGCAGGCGGCAGCTCTGGCCAAGGGTTGTCACCACAGAGGCGGAATTGAAACATAAAATCCAGGCATGACTAGATCATGAATGCTAATACTCTGCATGCTTAGGTCTCTGGCAAGTGTCGAGTGCAGTTTAGAAGTGGGGGAAGAGAAGTGGACTTGAATTCAACGAACATTACAATTCCTGCCACATGCTAGGTGTTTCCATAGATGTTAGCATAAGCCTCCTGGTTATGATGAGATAACATCACCTCCAATTTCCAGAGAAAGAAACCCAGGTAGGATGGGTGAGGTGATGTGGCCACTTGACTGTTCACTCTGAGCAGCACATCTGCTATTGAAATCAGTCTTCTCCTTCAGGCTCTTAGTCCATCTTGAAAGAGGTCTTGGAGGCCATATGATTTCAGGAACTTTTGGGTGATGGACTCAGAGATGCATCTGGTTGGCTGTGAGGGGAGATGATTTCCAGTTAGGTCAGTGCTCAGCCGTGCAGAGGAACGAGAGCCCTGCTCCCCGCGCATATCAGTCAGGAGATAGAAACCACACCAGTATTCGAACAGAATTTGATAGTATTGTTAACTAAATGTACAGTTGTTATCTAAGTACTAACAGAGGGTAGGAAGTAAACATGCAGGTAGCAACTGCAGGAAACAGCTACCAACCCTAGGGCTGAGGGAACAAAGGGATGAGGTGGGAATGATTAAAATGTAAAAGCAAGGCTTTGCAGAGCTGAAATTCAGTCTTTGAGGAGGGGGCACTGCCCCAGTTAGTGCTCTGAGCTTGGAAGAGGGGCCCTGAGTGCCTGGGACCCAGACCTCTGAAGAGAGAGCCCAGCAGTGAGGTTATTTCTTCTGCAAGTGCTGGGCAAACTGTAAACTGGGTTCAGCTGCTGCTGTAGGGAGGCACTCCTGCTGCTGGGGGTGAAGAAGTGTTGCTGGGGTGATGTTTACAGGGCTAGGAAGGAGCACGTCCCTTCTCCCTCCAGCCTTGCTAAGTCTAACAGACAAAGCAGAAAAGTGGGTTGCAGAGTTTCAGCCCCAGAATCACAAAGCAGAATTTAGATGTATGGCTTTGGAGCTGAGATACAATAGCTTAATAATGGGCATACCCAGATATCCACATCACCAGGTAATTGCTGCTTCTTCCTGCAGATTGGCTTTGCTGCCTTTGACCGCTCCCACCAGATGGAAAGGGAGACTGGGAAGGCCACGGATCGACTAGGCAAGTAGATGCCAAGACACTGGGATGGATGTTGGGAGAAACCAACCAGGGAATTGACTAGAGGGGCAGTCTAGAGACTGCTTCTTGTTACCTTCTCTTTCCTGCCAGTCCTTCCCTTTGCTGCCACGTTGCCGTCTCTGCCTACTCTTTAAACAGTGCCCTTGTTTGGAAGCCCAACTGGAGCTTCCTTAAGGGAAGCCCTGGACTTTTTTTATACCCAAACCCTTGCTTCCACTAAGAGAAACAGCATGGGACAGTGGAAGGAGTATCTTTGGAGCAGGGCAAAATTGTTTTAAATTTCAGCCCTGGGTAAGATAGTCCTAAGCTCGAGCTTTGTGGCCTTAGAAATGAGTCACTTAGCCTTTCTTCATTTTTAAATGGGGGTAATAATACCTACCTCAGAGGGTTGCTCTGAGGATTGGGTAGTGAAAGGATCTAGAAATATGCTGCCCAATACGATAGCCATTAAATGAAAAATTCAGTTCCTCGGTTGTACTAGCCAAAATTCAAGTACTCAGTAGCCACATGTGGCTAGAACTACCCTGTTGGACAGCACAGCTTATAGAATATTTCCGTCATCACAGGAAGTTCTGTTGGGCAGTGCTGTGCTAGAGAAAGTACCAAGCGCGTGATAGTTACAGTCACAGCAGCTAACACTTAATGAGGCTCACTGTGTGCTGGGAACAGTGTTAGTTCATTTTCCCTGCCCTCTGCGCTCCCCTGCCCTCCCCTCCCCTCATGTTTCCAACTCTCACAACCCTCTCCATTTTACAGATGAGGAAACTGAGGCACAGAATAGTTAAATTTTGGCTTCGGTCACACATTTAGTGATTAGCAAAACTGAGATTTGAACCTAGACAGCCCTTCTTATGCCCTTAACTGTTACTTTATTGCTTAATAGCTGTTGTTATTGTTAAACAGTGTTGATAGTCTGACCATTCTGAGGCTGAGTCCTTCCCCACCTCTAAACCGGCATCACCATAGCACCGTATGCTTGGAGGTCCATTATCCTTCCCTAAACTTACTTTCATTATTTTGAGAGCTTTTGAAAATGGACCTTCCAGCTGTCCCCAATGTCAGGAGCAAGAGACATGGTAGCTTCCCGTTGTGACTGGCTGGCTTCTGCTGTTCCTCTGGCTGTGTTCCTGCCATGCTCCCGTTGTCTCTGCGCTCACCTCTGACATGTGCTTTGAGGAGGAAGGGGGGGAAAGAGAAGATAAAACATTCAATTCAGGCTTGTATTGGGAAAGCATATAATTTGTCAGAGGCCCTTTGCCTCAATGACATGAATGCTACCTGCAAATATAAACTGCCTGGCTCCCTGCCATGAATTACAAGACTGGGCGTATGACGGCCTAGTTTAAGGCAAAACATCTTATTTAAAATAAATGATCAACCCTGCGTCGGAAAATGTAAAATTATTTTTGTGCTCAGGTGGCTGGAAGGTTTGCACATTTGTTTTATTGCCCTCATAGTAACTCTGTCAAATTATTTTCCACATGCCTTACAAAGCTAGATATGAGTGATTTTTTTTATGCCCCACTCCCCATCTCGCCAGGAGTCACTGGGTGGCACAAATAATTAAGCACTTGACCACTAACCGAAAAGTTGGTGGTTCAAACCCACCCAGAGGTACCTCAGAAGAAAGGCCTGGTGATCTGCTTCAAAAGGTCACAGTCTTGAAAACCCTATGGAGCAGTTCTACTCTGCACACAGGGGGTCACCATGAGTCAGAACTGACCTGATGGCAACTAACAGCAGCATCAGCAACTCCAGCCCACCAATTACTGTGCTTTCCCCACTCCATCCAGATGCAAGAGTAGGCGCTCTCTGGTTTGTCAGTTGTTTTAAGACCTTCCTTTTATTGATTTCTTAGCCAGAGGGGCACAGAGCATCCCTAATGATAGTCCTGTCCATGGTGAGGGTGCCCATTGTGAAGAGGAAGACTTTGCTTTGGATGATGAGGATTCTGATGGGGAACTGAATGCCTGGGAGCTGCCAGAAGGGGTTTCCGGCTGCCTGCCCAAGGAACAGACAGCTGATCTTTTCAATGAGGACTGGGACTTGGAGTTGAAAATGGATCAAGGGAATCCCTATGGTAGGTGTGGGGTTTCTGGGGTCCGAGGCCAGCGCTTCTCAGACTTTGCTACTACTCTTTTAACAGCAGACAGTTTGGAGGAGGGACTCGCATCTATGAGCTTAGTCAGATATGTGTTGCAAGTCTGATATTTCTCTGACAGCTTCTCTTTCATATTTAATTTGACTCTTACAGTATATCAGTTTGTTTTAACATAAAAACAGTGTTACTCTTTTCAAACATCTTTGAGCGAATAGAGACAGAAGTGCTCTGCTATCCATTTACTTCTGCACTATCAAGAACCCTTACTTGAAAAGCGTAACTATGGGTTAGTTTAGAATGGACATATTTGCAGTTCTTCAGGAAAGAGCAGAGTGTGTGTACACGTGAATGTGCACGTGCACACATGCATGTTTTCAAACAATAAGTGCAAGTGTGTGTTCCCTAAACATACATACTTTTTGGCTGTCCATTTCCACCTTCCATCCTCCCTTTAATCTGTCTTTTGAAACTGCCTGCAGATGCTGATGACATCCAGGGGAGCATTTCTCAAGAAGTCAAACCTTGGGTGTGCTGTGCCCCACAAGGAGACATGGTCTATGACCCCAGCTGGCACCATCCACCTCCACTGATACCCCATTATTCCAAGATGGTCTTTGAAACGGGACAGTTTGATGATGCTGAAGATTGAGTGTGAAGCCTTTCTGCCTTGTGGACGAGGTGGGGCCACAACATAAGGTCTCTCTCTCTCTGTTTTTAGGTCAGATGTCATATCTAGGAAAACGTTTTTGGTGATCCCTGTGTCTGGGGTGCACAGACTGGTGTTGAATAAGGCTCCCATTCTTCTCCCCGGTTTCTTGTTGTTTTGTTCTTTGTGGGTTTCTCCTTGGAAAGTGTGAGTGTTTGTGTCTGTGTCTGGAGGAGGAGTTGTGCTCTTTATAAATAAAGGTAGAAAAAAATCAATATACTTTGTCTACTTTTTCCCTCCCTTTTTAGTTAGATGCTTCTGAGCAAGGCCTTACTCCTTCATGTAAAGTCCCTGGATTATATTTTAAGGATTGAAATACTCAGAGACTTAAAACTACTCTGTGAAAGAGAATAAATTTTTAGTTTTGCTTCTGTAGGTCTGGCACTATTGGCCAGGAGTTGAAATCCAAGAGAAATTGGTGACTTTGTGGCTAATTTCTATTCCTGTTGATGGAGAAAATTGAACATTTACTTAGTTAACATGGGCTTTTTGTAAGCTGGGAAACTAAATGGGAAATTAATTAAACCAGCAGTTGTATAACCCTTAATCAGTGTAAAAGATTTTAAACTCTGCTCTCCATTTAATCTTTTAATCCTTACAGTTACTTGTATGACATCACTGTTTTTCTTGTTTACCCTATTTTTGTTTTTTTTGGTAGTTGCTGCTGAGTCCATCAACTCCGTGTATGTAGAGTATAACTGCTCCATAGGGTTTTTTTTTTTTTAAATTGTTGAGAATATACACAGCAAAACATAACACCAATTCAGCAGTTTCTACATGTACAGTTCAGTGACATTGTGCAACCATTCTCACCTTCCTTTTCCAAATTGTTCCTCACTCATTATCATAAACTCACTGCTCCCTAAGGTTCCTATCTAAACTTTCAAGTTGCTGTTGTCACTTTGATCCCATATAGATAGTTTTTGAAAGAGCATAATGCTCAAGGCAGACATCTTTTAGTAGTTTAGCCAAACTTTTGTTTGGTTTTCAGAAGACTTCAGGGGATATTTTTGGTTTAAGGTTTTAAAGATTATCTTAAGGCAGTAGTTTCAGGGATCCATCCAGCCCCCATAGCTCCAGAAAGTCTAGAGTCCATGAGAATTTGAAATTCTGATCTGCATTTCCCCCCTTTTGATCAGGATTCTTCTATAGAATCTTTGATGAGAATGTTCGGTAATGGTAGCCGGACACCATGCAGTGGCAAAGGAGGCAGTTGTTCATGGAGACAATTAGCCACACATTCCATATCCTCCTATTCCTGACTCTCCTTTCTCTGTTGCTCCAGGCAAATAGAGACTAGTGTCATGCCTTGGATCACTGCTTGCAAGCTTTTAAGACCCCAGGCACTACACAGAGAACTGTACTACACAGAGAAGCACTACACACGTTATTAGGCGAGTTAACTGGGATGTCCCATGAAACCGTGACCTTAAACCTCCAAACCAAGAAGCCAAAACTTGTGAGGTTTTTGGTTGTACATGAGCAGTCTCGGCAGCTACTCTATTTTTTGTTGTTGTTGTAAATACATCTTTATCACGTACTCCATAGGGTTTTCTAGGCTGTGACCTTTCAGAAGCACATCACCAGGCCTGCCTTTTGAGGTGTGTCTGGGTGGTTTTGAACCACTAACCTTTTCAGCTGATGTCGAGCACTTAACTGTTTGCCCCATCCAGGGACTCCTTACCCCATTTTAGAGGTGGGGAGGGAAAGCAAGACTCGAAGTGTTCTGGCCTGTCCAAGCTCACACAGCCATTAAGTGGCAGAACTGGGACCTAAATCTGCATGTGACTTTAACATCTGATCTCTTCGTTGCTCTTGCAAGTCTGTGATCAGCCGGAGCAAGTTGCTTTTGTTTCTTTGGCAGGCTGAAGGCTTGTCTCCACTCCCTCCTTACTGAAGGAATCAAGCAAAGGTCTCAGATCCAAAATCTGAGTCAGCTTCTCCCTGGCAGTTAATTGAGGATTTAACTATTTACACTATTTTTCAAAGGCTCCTAAAAGAGTGTGAACAAGGCCATTCACAAAGGTCTCACTGATTGGCTCTTTGATAATACTAGGAATTATTAAAAACTTTTTTTTGTGATAATGATGTGGTTATGTTCTTTTAACAAAATGTCATATATATATGCACACACACACAATGGAATATTATTCAGCCATAAAGAGAAATGAAGTTTTGGTACATGCTGTGACATAGACGACCCTTGAAAACATATTAAGTGAAATATCCCAGACACAAAAGGACAAATATTGTATAATCTCAACTTATATGAAATAGAATAGGCAAAGGCGTAGAGACAGAAAGTAGATTAGAGGTTGCCAGGGGTTGGGATATGAACTTGTTTTCTCTCACTGCCTTGCTCCATGCAGGCAGGCCCTGTGCTCATGGCCTTAGTGGAGGCATATGGCTGGGTCAAAAACAGTAGACAAATCTTTCTGGGTTTTGCTTTACAAAAGGAGCAAGGGGATTTGGGGTCCATAAACTGGGTATCTTGAAGAAATTTGAGGGTTAAGACTTTTCCAGCCACCCGCTGCCCCACCCGAAGTCCCCTGGGTTGTGCAATAGGGATGGGTAGAGGAGGGAGAGATCTGGGGATGCCAGCACAAGCCCTGCTTCCTGCAATGCCCCTGGGGAGTCAGGTGCTCAGTCTGTGAAAGATGTTGTTGCTTCTAGGCAGTTGGAACCATCCTGCAAAAGACACCCATGCCCCAAGCATGCAGAGAGCCTGATGGGCCTGGAGGGCCGCGTACAGAAGGATGACCACTGTAGATGGATGGACAACTTGGTGACCTGCTGCCCAGCCCCATTTGCATGGACACTACACGAGGCCCTGGCACAGCTCTGAGGAAGTGAGGAGAACCCCAGAACGCCTGAATGGAAGCTCAGGCTCGGAAATTAGGATGGTTAAAGTAAATGACAGTTTTGTTTCTTGAACCCCCCAGATACAAGAGATGAAAATTAGGCAAGCCTGATTGTGAACCAGTGACTGCTGGGGGTTGTAGGGAGGCAGATCATCAGCGGTAGAGATGGCATACTTAAAATACCATCGTTGGTCATGGAAGAAAAAATAGGGACAATGCTAGGAGCCCTAATACATGGCATAAACAGAATACAAAACATTACTAACAACGCACAAACACCAGAAGAGAAACTAGATAACTGGGAGCTCCTAAAAAACATTTAATGCTCATCAAAAGACTTCACCAAAAGGGTAAAAAGACAACCTAGAGACGGGGAAAAATGTTTTGGCTATGACAAGTCCGCTCAGCATCTACTCTCTAAAATCTACAAAATACTGCAAAACCTCGACAACAACAACAAAATAACCCAATTAAAAAATGGGCAAAGGATATGAACAGGCACTTCATCAAAGAAGACATTCAGGTGGCTAACAGACACATGAGGAAATGCTCATGACATTAACCATTAGAGAAATGCAAATCAAAACTACAATGAGATACCATCTCACCCCAACAAGGCTAGCATTAATC